CAAAAAAGTTAGGCTACGTACGGGAGCAATTGAACAGCTAGCTCGAGCTCTTTTTCCAGCTGCGTCACCCCAATGAGGGGGAAGCAGAGCTCAACCTAGACCAGCTCAAGCTTCCTCTGGTCGAAGCCCGCTTGAGCGAGGCTCAATGTGAAGAATTATAGAACTTATAGTTGGGTGGCCTTTAAAAAGGCCGGTTTGGTTGGTGTGGAGTACACCTTGAGCTTAAGCTCGCTCTCCTCGGATTCGTCGAGCCAACTGGATGTCCTTGGGCATGATCGTGACTCTCTTGGCGTGGATCGCGCACAAGTTGGTGTCCTCGAACAGGCTGACCAAGTAGCTCTCGCTGGCTTCCTGCAGAGCCATGATGGCAGTGCTCTGGAACCGCAAGTCAGTCTTGAAGTCCTGGGCGATTTCTCTGACCAGTCGCTGGAAGGGCAGCTTTCGGATCAACAGCTCAGTGGACTTCTGGTATCTCCTGATCTCCCTCAGGGCAACGGTTCCTGGTCTGTATCGGTGAGGCTTCTTCACACCGCCGGTGGAAGGTGCGCTCTTCCTTGCAGCCTTGGTAGCCAGTTGCTTCCTGGGTGCCTTTCCTCCGGTACTCTTTCGTGCAGTCTGCTTCGTTCGGGCCATTCTTCGTCAGTTGAGTGTAGCTGAGTTGTAGATGTAGAAGTAGATTTTGGGTGTTAAATTTTGTGAAAATCCGTGAGGTAACCTAGAGATTCAGATCTCCAGAAGCCTTGAGAGCGCTCGATGTATAAAAAAATAGTTAGGCTTGTAAAAGAGCAATAGAAGGAGAGCTCTGGTGAGTCGTTACTTATATATATTAAGGAGCAATTTCAACTATATATATAGTAAAGTATGTGAAGTGCCGACTATTTATACTTGGGTTGGAGGTTACCCGCCAAAAGCGGCATAGGTGATTGGCCCGTGTCTGAGTGATAGCGGAAGCTCAAACTAAGCTCGAATCTGATTGGCTGAGAAGTGAAAAGTTGAAAATTTGGTGTTTCTGCCTCTAGAATTGACCCAAAGCTAATGTCAGCCAGCTACAAACTCAATTGAGCTTATCCTAGCTGAATTGGGTTCGTTAGCTAGCTTTGGAAGCTCAAACTTAGCTATTTCGAGCTGTAAGTTAGAGAGCACAAGGAAGCTCAAATCTGATTGGCTGAGACGTGAAAGCTTAAAATTCTGCTGTCTTTTAGCTCTTAAATTGATCTGGAGCTATTTTAAGCAAGTTACAAGCTCAGTTGAGCTTAGTAGCTCAAATTAGATGCTCAAAGCTAGCTTTTGAGAGCTCGAAATTGCATACAAGCCAATTTGAGCTTGCTAGCTAGAGTACAAAGAGAACTATGCTTTTTGGTGGCCTTTAAAAAGGCCGGTTTGGTGTTGCTCAGAGCAACTAGTTGCAGAAGCTGGTCGTCTACTTGGAGCTGGTGTACTTGGTGACGGCCTTGGTTCCCTCACTGACAGCATGCTTGGCCAGCTCTCCGGGCAACAGCAGTCTGACTGCGGTTTGGATCTCCCGGCTAGAGATGGTTGATCGCTTGTTGTAGTGGGCCAGTTTTGAAGCTTCACCGGCGATTCTCTCGAAGATGTCGTTCACGAAGCTGTTCATGATCGACATAGCCTTGGAGGAGATGCCGGTGTCAGGGTGGACCTGCTTCAGCACCTTGTAGATGTAGAGAGAGTAGGTCTCTCGCCTCTTCTTCTTCTTTTTCTTGTCTCCAGTGGGCTTCTTCTGGGCTTTGCCTGCCTTCTTGACTGCCTTTCCGCTGACTTTGGGTGCCATTGTAGAGATGTAGTTGTAGTGGTGTTGAGTTGTGGATCGAGCAAAAATGCCAACCTAACTTGAAAAATTGTGTTCAAATTGAGCTCGAAGAATACTCAATTCTGATTGGCTCTCAGCTGAAAGCTAAATTAAGCTTCAATTTTGGACTGCAAGTCGAGCTCGAGGCTAGCTAGTTGTGTTAGGCCCCCATGGTTTGCTCTGAGTAGCGTAGCTATGCCTGCTAGGCAGGATAAAAAGATAGAACTTTAAGTTTGGTGGCCTTTAAAAAGGCCGGTTTGGTGTTGAAGCTTGAAAGCTAGCAACTGGTTGAGGTAGAAGCTCTTTACTTCTTGTCAGACTTGGGCTGAGACGAAGACTGCTTCTTGGGTAGGAGCACAGTCTGGATGTTTGGCAGCACACCGCCCTGAGCAATGGTCACTCCGTGGAGCAGCTTGTTCAACTCTTCGTCGTTCCTGATGGCCAACTGCAAGTGTCTGGGGATGATCCTGGACTTCTTGTTGTCTTTAGCAGCGTTGCCAGCCAGCTCAAGGATCTCAGCAGTCAAGTACTCGAGCACAGCAGCAAGGTAGACTGGAGCTCCAGCACCAACTCGCTCAGCGTAGTTGCCCTTGCGGATGAATCGGTGGATTCTTCCAACAGGGAACTGCAGTCCAGCTCGGCTTGATCGGGTCTTGGCCTTGGCTCCAACTTTGCCGCTCTTCGATTTTCCTCCTTTGCCTGACATCGTGTTGTAGTTGTGGTAGAAGCTGTAGATTGACGATTGACTTTACCCGCAATTTGGCTCCCTGTCTTAGGGTAGTAAGTTCAAATCGGCCACCAAGATGGGAGAGCCAATCAGAATCGAGCTAGCATTTTAAGTTAATTTAGATACGCTGAAAACTCTACACTAACTAGCTGAGCTTGTTAGAGCTCTAGCAGAGCTCGTTAGAGCTCTAGTAGAGCTTGACTTAAGAACTGAGATAGTTGGTGGCCTTTAAAAAGGCCGGTTTGGTGCTGCAGCTAGGAGAGCAGCTGGCTAAGAAGCTTCTTAACCTCCGAATCCGTACAAGGTCTTGCCTTGTCTCTTGAGGGCGTAGACGATGTCCATGGCTACAACGGTCTTCCTCTTGGCGTGCTCGGTGTAGGTTACAGCATCCCTGATCACGCTCTCCAAGTAGTTCTTGAGCACTCCTCGGGTCTCTTCGTAGATCAGTCCACTGATACGCTTGACACCTCCTCGTCGAGCAAGACGTCTGATGGCTGGCTTGGTGATGCCTTGGATGTTATCTCTTAAGATCTTTCGGTGCCTCTTTGCTCCTCCTTTGCCAAGTCCTTTTCCTCCCTTTCCTCGTCCAGACATGGTTGTTGCAGTTGTAGTTGTTGTAGAAATTGAAGTAGCAGTTGGGTTTGAGATTGGCAAAAATCGCTAGGTACCTATCAATTTTCGACCGACTTCTCTGCTCTCTGATTGGCCCTCATACCAACAGCCAATGAGAGAGCAGATAATAAGTATTTAAAAAAGTTAGGCACGTAAAGGAGCAATTGAAATTTTTTTTTTGAGCTCCCACAAGACCTTCTACCTCAAACTGGTCAGTCCACAGAGCTTATCAGAGCTATGTGATTTAAATCAAGCTCGTAGAAGCTCGCTCGAGGTCTGTGAGATAGCTTGCCGAGCTCTGAGAGCTCTAAGTTGAAAATAGTTAGGCTACGTACGGGAGCAATTGAAAAAATTTTGAGCTCACACAAGGTGTACTAGCTTAAACTGGTCAGTCGACAGAGCTTATTCGAGCTCTGTGATTTAAATCAAGCTTATACAAGCTTGCCTGAGCTCTATGAGGTAGCTTGCCGAGCTCTGCGAGCTCGAAGCTCAAAAAAGTTAGGCTACGTACGGGAGCAATTGAACAGCTAGCTCGAGCTCTTTTTCCAGCTGCGTCACCCCAATGAGGGGGAAGCAGAGCTCAACCTAGACCAGCTCAAGCTTCCTCTGGTCGAAGCCCGCTTGAGCGAGGCTCAATGTGAAGAATTATAGAACTTATAGTTGGGTGGCCTTTAAAAAGGCCGGTTTGGTTGGTGTGGAGTACACCTTGAGCTTAAGCTCGCTCTCCTCGGATTCGTCGAGCCAACTGGATGTCCTTGGGCATGATCGTGACTCTCTTGGCGTGGATCGCGCACAAGTTGGTGTCCTCGAACAGGCTGACCAAGTAGCTCTCGCTGGCTTCCTGCAGAGCCATGATGGCAGTGCTCTGGAACCGCAAGTCAGTCTTGAAGTCCTGGGCGATTTCTCTGACCAGTCGCTGGAAGGGCAGCTTTCGGATCAACAGCTCAGTGGACTTCTGGTATCTCCTGATCTCCCTCAGGGCAACGGTTCCTGGTCTGTATCGGTGAGGCTTCTTCACACCGCCGGTGGAAGGTGCGCTCTTCCTTGCAGCCTTGGTAGCCAGTTGCTTCCTGGGTGCCTTTCCTCCGGTACTCTTTCGTGCAGTCTGCTTCGTTCGGGCCATTCTTCGTCAGTTGAGTGTAGCTGAGTTGTAGATGTAGAAGTAGATTTTGGGTGTTAAATTTTGTGAAAATCCGTGAGGTAACCTAGAGATTCAGATCTCCAGAAGCCTTGAGAGCGCTCGATGTATAAAAAAATAGTTAGGCTTGTAAAAGAGCAATAGAAGGAGAGCTCTGGTGAGTCGTTACTTATATATATTAAGGAGCAATTTCAACTATATATATAGTAAAGTATGTGAAGTGCCGACTATTTATACTTGGGTTGGAGGTTACCCGCCAAAAGCGGCATAGGTGATTGGCCCGTGTCTGAGTGATAGCGGAAGCTCAAACTAAGCTCGAATCTGATTGGCTGAGAAGTGAAAAGTTGAAAATTTGGTGTTTCTGCCTCTAGAATTGACCCAAAGCTAATGTCAGCCAGCTACAAACTCAATTGAGCTTATCCTAGCTGAATTGGGTTCGTTAGCTAGCTTTGGAAGCTCAAACTTAGCTATTTCGAGCTGTAAGTTAGAGAGCACAAGGAAGCTCAAATCTGATTGGCTGAGACGTGAAAGCTTAAAATTCTGCTGTCTTTTAGCTCTTAAATTGATCTGGAGCTATTTTAAGCAAGTTACAAGCTCAGTTGAGCTTAGTAGCTCAAATTAGATGCTCAAAGCTAGCTTTTGAGAGCTCGAAATTGCATACAAGCCAATTTGAGCTTGCTAGCTAGAGTACAAAGAGAACTATGCTTTTTGGTGGCCTTTAAAAAGGCCGGTTTGGTGTTGCTCAGAGCAACTAGTTGCAGAAGCTGGTCGTCTACTTGGAGCTGGTGTACTTGGTGACGGCCTTGGTTCCCTCACTGACAGCATGCTTGGCCAGCTCTCCGGGCAACAGCAGTCTGACTGCGGTTTGGATCTCCCGGCTAGAGATGGTTGATCGCTTGTTGTAGTGGGCCAGTTTTGAAGCTTCACCGGCGATTCTCTCGAAGATGTCGTTCACGAAGCTGTTCATGATCGACATAGCCTTGGAGGAGATGCCGGTGTCAGGGTGGACCTGCTTCAGCACCTTGTAGATGTAGAGAGAGTAGGTCTCTCGCCTCTTCTTCTTCTTTTTCTTGTCTCCAGTGGGCTTCTTCTGGGCTTTGCCTGCCTTCTTGACTGCCTTTCCGCTGACTTTGGGTGCCATTGTAGAGATGTAGTTGTAGTGGTGTTGAGTTGTGGATCGAGTGTAAGTATGTGTTGGTCTGTGACCAGTTAAGCTTCTGAAGCAGACCTGCTGCTCTTTAAGCTGTTAACTTCCGGGTGTTGTTCATCTTGCGGAAAGTTGTTGTTGGAAAATTGCTTGTATTGGTGTGAGTCTGTGTCTGTTGATTGTTGTAGAGTGTCGTTTGATGTTGTTCATCTTGCGGAAAGGTGTTGTTGGAAAATTGCTTGTATTGGTGTGAGTCTGTGTGCGTATGTGTCTGTTGATTGTTGTAGAGTGTCTCGGATTAGTTCTTGTATCTTGGGGTTTGTCTGTGAAGCTCTTTTGAGGTAATTTGAGTTTAGTCTTGTTAGTTCATCTTGAATCGTCTTCATCCTGGTGATTTTATGTACTTCCTCTGTTGGTGTTAGTATTGGTAGATGGTAGGCTATTTTTAGTGCTCTGTTCTGCAATCTTTGTAAGTGACTTGTTGATGCGTTTGCCCACGAAGGTGATGCGTATGTGAATCCTGGTAGAATTGTTGATTGGTACAAAAACTTTAAGACTTTGGATTTGATGCCTTTGGCTCGTAGTACTAGTAGAAAATTGATTTTCCTTGTCGATTTGTCTTCAATTCTTTGTAGATAGTCTTTCCATGTCAGGTTGTTATTTAGGGTAACTCCAAGAAATTTAGTGGTTGTTGATGGTTCGATCTCTTCGTTCTGTAGCATTAATTTGCAGTCATTCTTCTTGCGTCTTGTAAAAAGTACAAAGTTTGTCTTCTCCGGGTTCACGTCTATCTTCCATTTCTGGCACCATGCTTCAAGTTTGTTTAGGCCACCTTGTAGTCTGTGTGTTGCATTCTTGCTTGTGTTTGAACTTGTGTAAATTGCTATGTCGTCGGCATATTGTGATATTGTTGTTAGACCTGCTTCTGGTTTGCTTACATAGATGTTGAAAAGGATTGGACTGATTACACTTCCTTGTGGTACTCCTGCACTGGGTGTGAAACTTTCGGCTTTGGCTTGGTGGTATACTACTGTTAACTGTCGGTCTGTCAGAAAACTCTTGGTCCATTTTACAATCCACTTCGGACAGTTGATCTCTAGTAGTCTGTAGTATAAGCCTTCGTGCCAGACAGAGTCAAAGGCTCGTTGCACGTCTAGAAATGCTGCTGCAACGGGTTGCTTCCAGTTATTCTCTTTATAGATTGTCTCTGTTAGACAGAGTAAATTGTCGGTGGTGCATCGTTTGCTTCGGTATGCACTTTGAAAGTGTCCGAAGATGTCGTGATCTTCGCAGTGTACTAGTAGCTGCTCTTTGACAAAACATTCGCAGATCTTCCCGATACAGCTTGTAAGTGAGAGTGGTCTATAGTTTTTGGGATCTTTGTGGTCTTTCTCGGGTTTTGGTAACATTGATACTGTCGCTTGTTTCCAGCCTAAAGGAACGTAGCCACTTCTCAGCGATTGTACTATGATTTGTCTTAGTACTTCTAGTACGTTGATGGGCAGGTTTTTCATCGCTTTGTAGCTAACTTTGTCTTGTCCTGGGGCAGTGTTTTTTCTGTGATTGATCACGTCTTTGAGTTGCTTTAAGCTAATTTCTGTTTGTGCAAAACCTGTCTGTTCCAGTTGAAAGTCTTGGATTTTCGCCTGTGACACCTTGTCATGTACTTTCTGTTCATGCGTTAGAGCTGCCTGAGAGTTTGTTATATTTGTCGTCATGTTTGCTTTGAGCATCTTAGCGAAGTGGTTCGCAGCGTCTTGATTTGTCATTTTCAGTTTACTCGTTCGTTTAGGTCTTGTGCCTGTGAGCTTTTTTACTGCTTTCCAGAAATTCTGTTGTGTTGGTCCTTTGTTCATTTCACTGAGTAGTTTGAGTTGGTTTTCTTCTTCTACTGTCTGTTTTAGCTGTCTGATGTCTTTCTTTGTTTTGTTTAGCTTTGTACACAGGTCTTTGTAGTCATTGGTGTCGTGTTGGTCATATCGTCTCATCTTTTGTTTTTGTCGTTCAAGTTTGTGTTTGTTTCTGACTAGTTCGACTAGTTGTGGGTTCGTGAATTGGGGCTTGTGTTCTTTGAGGCTGCCTTGGTAGCATTTGTCAATGTGTTTGGCTATCTGGTCAGCTTCTCGAGCTAGACCTTCGTCAGTTTTGATTGAGTCAGGGTTGAACTTGTAGTTCGTTACAGTACCTCTGAATTTTCGCCAGTTTGGTTTTGTGCATGTTCTCTTTGGAACAGTTAGTTCGTACTCTGCAATTGTCATGTAGTGATCGCTTGGTGTTGTGTCCGACACTTCAAAGTTCGTGCATAAGCAAGCCATTTTTGGTGATGCAAAGTGTAAGTCTAGGACTGAGTCACTTTGGTGTGTTGGTTCGGAACCGTTCAAGATGAAGTAGTTGTGCATGAGAGCGTCTACAACTCTTCCGTTGCTGTTGGTTGCTCTTGCTTTTGGGTTGACAGATTTGATCTGTGCGTTGAAGTCTCCAACGATGATGTGCTTTGGATCTTTTCCATTGAAAGTCACGTTCTCTATCTCTGCGTTTGGGCTAAGGTAAACACTTGTTACAGTGATACCCATTGTGTTGATCTTGATCGTCTCGCATACTTTTCTTCGTTCTCTGTGGTTTTGGTTTATGTGCTGTGCTTGTTCCAGTACTTGGTACTGTATGTTGTCTCTGATGTAAATTGCCGAGCCTGTGACACTGTCACAGATTGCCGCTGCAAGGTTAAAGTTTTGTAGTTTTGGTGGATGTTTGGTTTTTGTTTCGTTGAAGCAGACTATAGTGATGTTGTGTTTCGCTAGAAGATCTTGGATCTCCAGTTTGTGCTTGTTTATACTTCTGCAGTTGAGTTGTGCTATCTTGAGTCTATTCATTTTGGTTTGTTGTTGTTGTTTTGATTTCGGGAGCTACTATGTCTGCTGCTGCTTGCTTCTCTGTGTGTTTTTGTATTTTGTTTTGCTTTTATGTTTGATGTTAACAGCTCAGTGAAATCTATTTTCTCGAATTGAGTTCTAACTGCATTGCTGACTGTTTCGTTAATTTTCTCACATGATTTAGCGACAGCTTTGGTGATTGCATCGGTTATCTTTTCGTCCATGGCTTTTTGCACTGCTTTTTCGACTTGATCGGCTATTGTAGTTTCAACAGTTTCTTTAATGTACTGCTGTATGTCCTCTTTGCTCATGGTTGGTTGTGGTTTGACTGCTTGAGCGTAGTTGTTTTGCACAGTTCGTTGCAGATGTTTGACTGCTTGAGCGTAGTTTTGCACTTTTGGTTGTGCTTTTTGGGCTTCGACTTGAGCTGTCTTGTAAACCGGGCATCCTTTGTACTGCGCCGGGTGTTCGCCTCTGCAGTTGATGCATTGAACTTGCTGCTTTGGAGTTTTGCAGTCTCTGACTGCATGGTTGTCGCCACATCTGAGGCATCGTTGCTGGTTCGGACAGTTTATGGCCATATGGCCGAAATTTTGGCATTTGTAACACTGTGTTACTCGTGGTTCTGTTTTGGATGCTTCGCATCGTTTTCGTTCGTTGCAGATGTAGACCCCAATGTCGATTGCCTTTCTGCAGGCTAGGTCATCATCTGTGAAAACTCTGATGAGTTGTGTTGGCTTGTCTAGGCTTCTGCTTTGGATTCGGAAGAGCTTTGCTACCTTGATGTTGTTGATCTCCTCAAGTTCAGATTGGATGTCAGCTTCGCTGAGTTGTTCACTGACTCTTGAGATAACAAAGCTGGAAATTTGTTTCTTGTTGGGTTGATTTGTCTTGTGTTGTCTGCCTCCGATTTTTACTCCCGTGTCGGGAAACAGGTTTTCGAGGTTGGTTTGGGTGATAATTTGGGCTATTTGAGGCGATTCAGGCTTGATTGAATAGCCTAGGCCAGTCTTGAGGTCCCTGGTTTGACCAGGATATTGTACTTTAGTCAGGTTACGTATTGATTTGGTGAAAGTCATTCGGCTTGGAATTTTGTCTTTTGCAAAGCTTATGTAGATAATGTTCGTGAAGTGTTGCTTTGAGCTTGTGAAGGGTCTTTTGTTGCTTTGAGCTTGTGATTCTTCCGCTTTGCGCTTTCGATTAGTTGCTTGACTTTGCTCCATTGTCGGTTGCCTTTTAGGCGAAGCGTCATCAAGATTGTCTTGCCAGTTTTCTGAATGCATTGTCGGTTGCCCTTTGGGCACATTCTTGAACTGTTGTCGTTTTACTGTGTTGTAAGCAGCATGTTGATCTTGGTTTGGTCCCATTGTCAGTTGCCTTTGAGGCGAGGCCTTTCCTTGATCATTGCTTGTTGGTGTCAGGCTTCCTTCGATTATTAACTCGGAATTAGATTCGTCGTCGCTTTGGTCGTAGTTTGCGATTGCTGATGCCATTTGGGAGTTAAGGGATGATGGCATTGTGGGGGGGGGAGTCTCTTCACTCACTATGTGAGCCGGACTGCTCCTTCTTGCACCGGAGTGCTCCTTCTTCACTCACTATGTGAGCCGGACTGCTCTTGTGGGGGGGGGGGAGTATCTTCACTCACTATGTGAGCCCGACTGCTCCTTCTTGCACCTTCTTCGTCTTTGTCCTTCCTTTCTTCCTCTTTGTCCTTCCTTTCTTCCTCTTTGTCCTTCCTCTTCCCTCTAGTCTCTTTCTTCTTGCACCCTCTTCGTCCTTCTGGGCACTTTCTCCTTCCCTCTAGACCCTCTTCCGTCGGGTTACTCTTGGTAGGTCCAACAATAACGACAGAGTAGAGGTTGTCCAAGTAAGCAATTGCAGACCCGGTCGCAACGTATCTCTGTCTCCTAGAATGCTAGCACCGCTTTCGCAATGTGTCGCTTAGACTAGGGTGTTATAGGGACCAACCAACTTCTAGATCTGCGTTCGTGACACTCTCTCGGAGGGACAAAAAGCCAATCAGGACTGCGACCGATCCAAGTCAGAACCCAGGTTGGCTGCGCACCGTTGGGTTTGCAAGTGCCGGTTTGGGACTTGGTTCCAATAGCACCTTTATACAGGCTTTATCGGCCGACT